TCAAAAGGAAATCAATTTTAAATTTAAAATCAAAGTAACTTTTAAATTTTGAATCAAACAGAAATCAATTTTAAATATTACATGAAAAAAACAGGAAATAATTTTAAATTTTAAATCAAATAGGAAATCAATTTTAAATCAAACAGGAAATCAATTTTAAATTTTAAATCAAACAGGAAATCAATTTTAAATTTTAAATCAAACAGGAAATCAATTTTAAATTTTAAATCAAACAGGAAATCAATTTTAAATTTTAAATGAAAAAAACAAGAAATCAATTTTAAATTTTAAATAAAAACAGGAAATCAATTTTAAATTTTAAATCTAATAGGAAATCAATTTTAAATTTTAAATCATATAGGAAATTAATTTTAAATCAAACAGGAAGTCAATTAAAATCCAACAGGAAATCAATTTTTAATTTTTAAATCAAACAGGAAATGAATTTAAATTTTAAATCAAAGTAACTTTTAAATTTTAAATCAAACAGGAAATCAATTTTAAATTTTAAATAAAAAATAGGAAATCAATTTTAAATTTTAAATCAAATAGGAAATCAATTTTAAATTTTAAATCAAACAGAAAATCAATTTTAAATCAAACAGAAAATCAATTTTAAATTTTAAATCAAACAGGAAATCGATTTTAAATTTTAAATCAAATAGGAAATCAATTTTAAATCAAACAAAATCAATTTTAAATTTTAAATCTAACAGGAAATCAATTTTAAATTTCAAATCAAAAACAGGAAATCAATTTTAAATTTTAAATCAAATAGGAAATCAATTTTAAATTTTAAATCTAATAGGAAATCAATTCTAAAATTTTAAATCATATAGGAAATTAATTTTAAATCAAACAGGAAGTGAATTTTAAATCCAACAGGAAATCAATTTTTAATTTTTAAATCAAACAGGAAATGAATTTAAATTTTAAATCAAAGTAACTTTTAAATTTTAAAACAAACAGGAAATCAATTTTAAATTTTAAAATCAAATAGAAAATCAATTTTAAATTTTAAATCAAACAGGAAATCAATTTTAAATTTTAAATCAAACAGGAAATCAAGTTTAAATTTTATATCAAACAAGAAATCAATTTAAAATTTTAAATCAAAGTAAATTTAAAATTTTAAATTAAACAAAAAATCAATTCTAAATTTTAAATCAAACAGGAAATCAATTTTAAATCAAAAAAAGGAAATCAATTTTAAATTTTAAATCAAACAGGAAATCAATTTTAAATCAAACAGAAAATCAATTTTAAATTTTAAATCAAACAGGAAATCAATTTTAAATCAAAAACAGGAAATCAATTTTAAATCAAAAACAGGAAATCAATTTTAAATCAAAAACAGGAAATCAATTTTAAATCAAACAGAAAATCAATTTTAAATCAAACAGGAAATCAATTTTAAATTTTAAATCAAAAACAGGAAATCAATTTTAAATTCTAAATCAAACAGGAAATCAATTTTAAATTTTAAATCAAACAGGAAATCGATTTTAGATTTTTAAATCATATAGGAAATTAATTTTAAATCAATCAGGAAGTCAATTTTAGATCCAACAGGAAATCAATTTAAATTTTAAATCAAAGTAACTTTTAAATTTTAAATCAAACAGGAAATCATTTTAAGATTTTAAATCAAACAGGATATCAATTTTAAATCAAATAGGAAATCAATTTAAAATGTTAATATTGAACAGGAAGTCAATTTTAAATTTTAAATCAAACATGAAATCAATCTTAAATTTTTAAATCCAACAAAAAATCAAGCAAAAAACTGTTTTGTATTGATGTGATGAGAAAAAGGAAAACGCAACAGCTGGAGTTGAATGACTTGACCTGATAAATGGCGATAGTTAATCAAGTTTCAATTTTATCAACTGAGCAAAGTTTAAAGTCATCGATCCCGATCGATCATGTCCCACATATCGGGAATCAGCTATTCAATAGAGATGTAACTAATACATGTGAAACATTAATAGGAAATTGGCGCCATTTTGTATGAAATACTGCAACAAAAAAAACACAAAAAATATCGATGCCCGTAGTGGCTGGTTTATGGTGAAATATGAGAGAGGCTTTGTCAGCGTAAAGTCCGCTTGACGCCATCACTTTGTGGGTGATTAGCAGTTTCACTGGTATTGATGGACCATGCCTAGCATGTCATTTTATGTTTGTCTCTTTGTCTACTGTTAGTTTTGCTCACTTGTAGGTGGTGTGATGGATAGTGGCGCGGTATAAGAAATCGGAGAGGCAAGTTCGAATTTCAAGCGGATTCATTACATTCACTTACGCACAAATACCTTTTAATTAAATAGTAAGACTTACATCAAGAAAAGTCATTGTTATTATCAAATGATCGTTGATACAATATACACTCACAAAAACAAAAGAAAACAGAAGAATTCTTACAATCTAAAATATGTTTTGTCTTTAAATAACATACAAAAAGATCATAAGTCGTTTTTCTATTTTTTGATTTACGGCTTATCAACCCTTCGCAGGTTATTTAAAGCCAGAAAATGTTATTTTTTTAAAGAACATGTTTTTTCGAAATTTTTACCCTATCAGGAAATAAGTAATTATGATATGAATACGAAGTGGGGAATCAATTCTATAATACAACCACTGTATAAACTAATCCCTCAGTTTGTGGCTATGGTAGTTTTTATCCACTTATATTCCAGTGAATATAAATAAATATGAAATAAATCATGCCTGTGGAGCTAATCCCTATTTCATGGATTGATTCGTTTTTACGGTTTATCAACCCTTTGCACGTTATTTAAAACCAGAAAATATTTTTTAGATTGTAAGAATATGTCTTTTTTAGATAATACTGGTTTAGTGATACAAGTTTTACTAATTAATCCATAGCTGGGGGAGAAGAGGTGGATTCATACCGAATCATAATTTGATAAAGAAACAAGAAATTATAATGTGCATATAAAGTAGAGGGATCAATTATATATTACAATCAATATTTAAACTGATCCCTCACTTTATGGCCACGATGTTTTGCATGCCGTGTGTAACAGCAAAGTTGTCTAAATTGTGCAACAGTAAAATTGTACAATTTTTAGGCTAAGCTTTGAACCGTTGTATCTTAGAAATGATTAAAGACATATTACTGGAATTTTCTAAGACGAATGGATTCTACTTTGAACAATGAGAATGTATTGAAGTTGAAATGATGATCCCTCTTTTGTTGTGACTTCCTGGTTCAGTTTTCCTCTCTACTGTTTCCTCTTTTTTAAAACTTATTCACCGACGGTTCTTGAATAGACTTTAAAGATGGAAGCCAGTGTATGAATGTTGGTATCATTACTGAAGGCATGAATGACCTTTTTCATCTTCATGTTCAGCTGGGAAGACAGTGAGGCTGACACAATTCGACTTTAACCTGTTCTCTTTCTAGCTGAATAACTGAAAGGGTTTTTCAGTGATTTTTACGGCAAACTGTAAACCTGGAAACAATAAACTCAGTTTAGTGATTTTTTTTAGATATTTTTTATAAGCGTTTCACCCCAAGCAAGGCTGGAAGCCACTAGCACGCAAGGGGTTACAGAGAGTTGGAACGAGAGAAAATAGGAGTGATAGAGGAAAGGATGAAGAGAAGGATAGGGGATAGATCAAGGCATCTGGAGATTGTCGACGTCTTCAGATGCCTTGATCTATCCCCTATCCTTCTGACATTACACTTGAATAGTTGGAGATCATAGCTATCAGGGAAACAAGAAAAGGGAAAGGATCTCCACAGGCGAGAAGTGCTAGACATGAAGCTATTGGAGTAGAAGAGACAGCTACATTTAACAGTTTCGACAGTGAAAGGGTGAGAGCGAGATGCCAGCCTAGATGAACGCTTAAATTCATGAAGTCTGGGAACCAAAAAAAAGCAGCTCATCGGAGCAGCTACCGTGAAAGTATTTGACAGAGGGAGGCGACGGCACGTCTGTGAGAGAGCGACTGAAGACGAGATGCCAGATCAGGGCCAATTACATTGCATATCCGTCTCTGGATTTTATCAAAATATTAAACATTATCAAGACATTAAACATTTTGTGGGATGGACAATTAACCCATGCTGAAACACGATTTGGACAATTTTGCTGTTACAGCCGGTGCATTTATATTCAAGAAAATGTAAAGTCTAAAGGCATGCCTGTGTAGCTAATCCAGATGTTATTGATTGCTTGATTCGTTTTCTACAAGTTAGCCACCCTTTGAAGGTTATTTAAAGCCAGAAAATATTTTTAGATGGTAAGAATTTTTTTTGCTTTGGCGATAATAATGATTTAGTGATACAAGTCTTACTAATTAACCCATAGTTGGGGGAGAAGAGGTGGATTCATAACTTTTCCAAGGTTATTTACACATAAGGGAATTAAAGGAACCCAGCTGGAATTGAAACTTGGCTCTCTGATTAACAATTCCCAGACATTATCCATTACACCACCCGCACATCCAACAAGCCTAGAGCACCTGGTATTCCTAAGCGGCCACACATTTAGGTATTGACCAATTTCGCCGTTGGTTAATTTCGGCGACCTTACGGGAACTAATGTTTCAACGTGATATGGTCGTAAGCCTTGATAAGTCGTAGAAAAGAAAACAAACTAATCAATCAGTAGTCACTTGTGATTTAATTTATTTCATGTAACAACAATTATTGTTATCGAATGGAAGAGGTTTCGATCTCAGTTTACGGCGTTCGTTTTCTTTTTAACCAAAAATTTAATCTCGAAGAATTTACACTGTAAGCAAAAAACGCAGCAGCATATATTTTATTTACCAACGAGAAGCAGCTTATCATTTTTTATACTAGAATGCCCCCGATACAATGCATGAGAGCCACTCAAGATAGAGGGCTACTGCTAAAAGGGTAATGCATGTTTGATATTCATGAGCGGAGTTCTACAATAGGCAATGAAGAATAACATTTTTGAATTTTCATATTGCTATAAAGCATTCCAGATAACGAATATCGAGGCTTACGACCACATCATGTTGAAAAACCGGTTCCTGTACGATCACCGAAGTTAAGCAACGTCGAGCTTGATTACTAACGAAATGGGTGACCGCTTGGGAATACCAATATATGGTGGTGGTCTGAAGGATTTATGGTCATATCACGTTGAAACATCGGATTTCGTATGGTCATCGAAGTTAAGCAACGTCGAGCCTGATTAGTAACTATATGGGTGACCGCTTGGTAATAGCAAGTGTTGTAAGCCTGGATGGTGTGTAATGGATACTGGCTAGGAATTTTTAAATTGGAGAGTCATGTTTCAATTCCCGTTGGGATCGTTATATTGACAGACGCTCAAATACATTAGCGGAAGGCATGAATCCACTTCTTCTTCCCCACCGCAGTTATGGGCTAGTTAATAAGACTTGTTTCCCCAAATCAAATAAAAAATCTTACAATGTAAATTTTTTTTCTGGCTTTAAATAACCTGAAAACGGTTGATAATGAATCAATCATTAAAATAAGTAAGAAAATATGGAAAAATACCCTTTATAAAAGTTTGTAGTAGTATCGAGTTTCCTATGTATTGAAATTGATCCGACCTATGGAAGCCAAAACAAATATGCTCATTGGATGTGTTTTGTTAATCTAGGTACCAAAGAGGATAGCTCATCAGAACAATTATCAGGGAAATATTTATATAAAATGCACAGGGAAACTACGGTGCGGTGGCGGGAAAAGCGACTGGAAAAGAGATGCCAGGTTAGGACCAATAACATTGCTGATTCTCCTTTGGATTTTATCAAGTATCCCTAAATATATAGCAAGGGCACCGGAAGATCTGGCAGCAATATTAAATGCGTGCCTCCCTTCAAAATGATGAGACCTATTTGCCAATCTAGTACAGTGTTTGAATTCGTAAATCTAGATACATTAGAAGAGAGTTCCGGAAAACACTTAAAACGTATAGAAAGTATTTATAGAAAAGGTTGAGGGAAGCTTCGTTATCGTGGCGGGAAAAATCACCGAAGCCGATATGCCAGGTTCGGACTAATAATATTGCAGATTCTTCTATGGATTTTATCAAGAATCTGTAATATATATATATATAGTAATATTATATTTAGAATTCTCAGATATGACAGAAAACTAAGAGTTGAGGAGGCAGGATCGGCTCTTGGAGGGAAAAGGACGCTGGATGAAGATTTGTCGGACTATAGGACGCATGTTTCAGCATCTGCCATTATCTGTCATTAGTATCTTTATTGGATACATGAAACTGTGCGCAACTTACGGCCTTCTCTCGTCTCACTTATTATTTATCGCTCTTGACGTAATCTTTTGCCATGAGTGAATAACTGAGAATCGCGTTTGTCGGTTGTAATGCAATTGTCTTCAATTCTCAAGTATGCTCATCAATGCGAAACAAGCGTTTGCGTGCGCAGACACGTCGAGAAAAAGGATCCACTAATTGTGGTGAAACATAAGACGACATCAAACGTTAAGAGACAAAAGTTTAAGTTTTGAATCTTCATCCGTGTCGCAGAAATACACAGACAGTGACAGAAACTCGTGGGGAAAAAACGTATCAAATTTCTATTGATTTTATACACACACACACACACACACACACACACATATATATATATATATGATGCAAAAGAGAAGCTTTACATTTATACTACATTATTTATGCTGGGAAAAAGTACTAAAGTAATTTTTAACATTTTTACCTATTATAAAGCTTTCACATGTTTTTAAATATACAAATATACTAGTTTACCCAGGCCGTCCAAAATGATGGCATATTTTGTTAAGTCCTTACTATTATTAGAAGGTTTTCACATATGAGTCTTTAAATATATAAATATACTAGTTTACCCAGGCCGTCCAAAATGATGGCATATTTTGTTAAGTCCTTACTATTATTAGAAGGTTTTTACATGTGAGTCTTTAAATATATAAATATACTAGTTTACCCAGGCCGTCCAAAATGATGGCATATTTTGTTAAGTCCTTACTATTATTAGAAGGTTTTTTATGTGAGTCTTTAAATATAATGATGGCAGGCCGTCCAAAATTTTGTTAAGTCCTTACTATTATTAGAAGGTTTTTACATGTGAGTCTTTAAATATATAAATATACTAGTTTACCCAGGCCGTCCAAAATGATGGCATATTTTGTTAAGTCCTTACTATTATTAGAAGGTTTTTACATGTGAGTCTTTAAATATATAAATATACTAGTTTACCCAGGCCGTCCAAAATGATGGCATATTTTGTTAAGTCCTTACTATTATTAGAAGGTTTTCACAATTGACTCTTTAAATATATAAATATACTAGTTTACCCAGGCCGCCCAAAATGATGGCATATTTTGTTAAGTCCTTACTATTATTAGAAGGTTTTCACATGTGAGTCTTTAAATATATAAATATACTAGTTTACCCAGGCCGCCCAAAATGATGGCATATTTTGTTAAGTCCTTACTATTATTAGAAGGTTTTCACAATTGACTCTTTAAATATATAAATATACTAGTTTACCCAGGCCGTCCAAAATGATGACATATTTTGTTAAGTCCTTACTATTATTAGAAGATTTTTACATTTGAGTCTTTAAATATATAAATATACTAGTTTACCCAGGCCATCCAAAATGATGGCACATTTTGTTAATTTCTTGCTAATTTTTGCAAGGTGTGAAAACCTTCTTATAAAATCTTCCTCTGTTTCATAATTTTGTTGCATGATACATGATGATAAAATTTTTATGCACTAGATGTGCTATACAACAACTCATCGGTAGTTTTCTGCAACACCGCAAGATGCTACTAAACGTAAACCTTAACCTGAAAAGTTGTGTTATATTTTTAAAGCCTCGTTCAATCTTGACTCTCATGCGAATGTCATATGTCGCCTTCAACTCGTTCAGAAATTTCTAAACTAAAATCTATATATAACCGTTTTCTCAGTTCATTGATAGACAATGGATTCTAGCAAAGGAATCTTTTTGATATTAACAAAAACTCCCCTTTTAATAATCTCATAGACTAGTGTTACATAATCACAAAAAAAATCTTTAGATATTAACAAGAATTACAGTGTAACCCGGATATAAGAGAGTTGTCGGGACCGGAAGAGAAGTCTCTTATATCCGGGTTTCTCTTATATCCGGGTTTCTCTTATATCCGGGTTACACTGTATATTCCTTGAAGACACCCGACAGCTGCAGCAATATAGCATATTTAACGAGAAGGGAAAATAATATAATCAAAATGGTGTCTAATATTACACTTGAAATCAAAAGAATAATAATAATAATAATAATAATGATAATCATAATAATAATAAATCTGCAACTTCTACGGGAAGGAAACTGAAAGAAATTGCTATGAACACCAGCCAGATCTGGTGACGGAGATAAGATTGTAACAATTCTATGGGACTATACAATACACACTGACAGAACAATCAAAGCCAACTGGCCAGACATTGTTATTAGAGACCTCAAAAAAAAAAAAAAAAAAAAAAAGATAGTCTTTATTGATATGGCAGTCCCTGCAGACTGCAATGTATCATTGAAGATCATCAAAAAGCTATCAAAATACAAGAACCTTGAAATCGAACGCTCAAAAATGTGGCACATGGGAACATCAACAATTCCTGTTGTAGTTGGAGCCCTCGGATTGTTTGGAAAAGATTCCAGTAGACTAATTGAAGGGATTCCTGGAAGCCCATGCCTTAAAGAAATATAAAAAATCGTTCTCACGAGTACAGCCCACACCTTACGAAGGGCTGTATCTATGTAAAATGTGTTTGTGTGTTTTTTGGGGGTTTTTAATTGGTCAGTGGAAAATGTCATGATACCATGTCTAACCATAGGTCTCTGGGCAGGACACGGAAAAAAATGTTTACACACCAGAAATGAAAGGAAATATAATAATAATAATAATAATAATAATAATAATAATAATAATAATAATAATAAGCTGTCAAAATACAAGGACCTTGAAATAGAAATCTCAAAAATGTGGCATATGGGAACATCAACAATCCCTGTTGTAGTTGGAGCCCTAGGATTGGTTAGAAAAGATTCCAGTAGACAAATTGAGGGATTCCTGGAAGTCCATGCCTCAAAGAGTTACAAAAAATTGTTCTGACAAGTACAGCCCACACTTTACGAAGGGCTTTATTTATTTATTTATTTTTTCCAGTGGAAAATGTCATGATGCCATTTCCAACCTTAGGTCCTTGAGCGGGACCCGGAAAGAAATGTGTAAACGTCAGAAATCAAAGAAAATAATAATAATAATAATAATAATAATAATAATAATAATGATAATAAATGTAAAAATTCAGATATAAACAAAATATAAAAACCCAATATGAAGAAAGACAAAAGGAAAACTTTCAAGTATCTTCTATCTTCTTTACCCAAAGAAATATGGATGCCCATAAAAATAAAAATGGTTAACTCAAGAAGTTTTATTTTTAATATTAATACTTACATAGACAATATATTAAAATAAAAGAAAATCCTGACTAATAATTGTATTAACAACAGATAAATAAATAAAAATAGACAAATTAAAAAATAAAACAATTCAACAACATTAACAACATTTATTTACTTTTATTTATCAAACATTAAATTACATCACTTAGCTTCTTCCATATAGTATCTTTAATGACACAGTTTTGCGAATATTTTAGAGTATCCTTAAATTTTTTTAAACATTTTAAATTAGAATGATATATATATATATATATCTTTTTGCTTCTACTTATAAATACATGTTGCAAAATAGAATCCTTACAAATTTCTCAACAAAATGCCTCAAGGGGCGAAACGAATCGATAAAGAAACATTTTCGTAGGTACCTCCAAAGATTTTCTTCCAAAAAAGAGCATACCCTGATGAAAAAAAAGCCACCAAACTTGATGAAAACAAAGTTTAATCATCAAAATGTTTATGTTATTATTAAGAGGAAAGACCAAAGCATTTTTTGATTTCTAGTATGTTCGAATTTTTTTTTTTGTGGTAGAAAAGACATTGTTTTGGAAATTCTTGCTAAAATCAAATAATTGTCGGATTTTATTGTCTTAAAAAATTATGAAGTAATAAATATATTTATTAACTATAAATGGATAAGCTTAATACAAATCATCATCACAAATATTTTAAAAATAATTAAAACTAAATTTCAGGGACTTCATATTTATATTAGTTAAAAGCAGGATTTTGGTTAAAGATCTTGTTTATCTTGCATCAGCTAACGTCATTTTCTTCAATTATATTTTTAAGATAAAGTCTCCGTAGAACGACATTAAGCCTGTCATCAAGCTGCAAAACACGTCAAAACAACTATTGTCGGGAAGAAAAAATCATTTCTTCGGTATTTCAAGCTTAACGTAAATAATCTTTGTCTCAAATCAGATGAATTTTATTTTAAATCAAATAATACTACTCAGATAAAAGTATTTCTTATTTTTGGAAGATTATATTTTTAAAAAATTGAATTAGATTTCAATGAAAAACGACTAAAAAAGGGTCGCTAATCATCTATTTTAGCAAATAAAAAAAATTCTTCTAGTGAATTTAAACTAGTTTTGAAATACAGCAAAATACGTTGTTAATAGATATTAAATTTAATCTATTAACTTGAAATTAAACTAAAGTTCTCTAGTTTTTTTTTATTCATATATATATATATATATATATATATATATATATATATATATATATATATATATATATATATATATATATATATATATATATATATATATATATATATATATATATATATATATATATATATATATATATATGTATATATATATATATATATATATATATATATAGATAGATAGATAGATAGATAGATAGATAGATAGATATATTAGTTGTCAATATACATATAACATATAACATATATAAATACATATACATACATATATATATATATATATATATATATATATATATATATAATATTAGTTGTCAATATATATATATATATATAACATATAACATATATAAATACATATACATATATATATATATATATATAGATAATATTACTTGTCAATATACACACACACACACACACATATATATATATATATATATATATATAAATTCAAGAGGATAGAACCCAGGTCGAACTCAATATCCATGACAGTGTTTTGGCCTTTTATCTTTTATATATATATATATATATAAAGAAAGAAAGAAAAAACCCAAGACAGTCATACAGATTAAATACTTAGATAGATATTTTTAGCGGGAATATTCCAAAATAGATGTGATAACAAATCGCAGACTAGATTCCTGTTGACTGGCTCCATTTGTTCTTCCATAGCATCAAACCGGATGGGAAAGAGAATCTTGGTGGATCCAACGAAATCGAGGGAAAAAAAACAATAGAGAGAAGAAAATGAGGGAAGAAATAAATAATAGCAACGAAAGTGGGAGACGGATTCAGCCTTTCTAAATAATCATTTTATTCACGTCTGCGCTGATAAAACCCCTTGAGCTTTAAACACATCCAGATTAAGAGATTTGGATGATCTTTTATTTGCTTTTCTACAGTAAAAGATATATGAACGAAGGAAAGAAACTGAGATAGATAGATATGAGGAATCGCACAGATAGATATGAAGACACTGTTTTCGATATATATATATATATATATATTTGTTTGAATAAAATACAGACCAAGTTAAGATTCCATGTAATAAGCTAGTTCACCATAACCCCTTTAACAGGGTTCTGGATCATCAGCCATACGGATTACCTAAGTTTGCATAAACTATATATATATATATATATATATATATATATATATATATATTTACTTGAATATATTTGTATCTATAAAAAATGTATAAAACATAAAATGTATAAAACATAAAATGTATAAAACATAAAATGTAAAAAAAAAAATGTATAAACATAAAATGTCTTATATATATATATATATATATATATATATATATATATATATATATATATAGAGAGAGAGAGAGAGAGAGATAGATAGATAGATAGATATGAGGAGTGTCACAGATAGATATAAAGAAAATGTTATGGATATATATATATATATATATATTTATATATATATATATATAAAGATAGAAAGAAATAGAAGCTGAAATAAAGATATGAAGAATGTATTATATATGTATATAATTATTTATTTAAAAATATGATTACAACGCTACATATAAAGTAGTATAATTAAAAAGAACTGCCAAAGTTTGTTTAATTTTTTAATTATATTTTCCGATTTTCGTGTAAGTTGCTGAGTATTATATCCGAATTGTGGATAAACTGTCCAAAGTGCATATTTTGTTCCCCATCTTCGAGTACAATAGTCTACACCGATAATTGGATGAATACTTGCTCCTATATATATATATATATATATATATATATATATATATATATATATATATATATATATATATAATTTAAATAAAATTTAAATATTTGCTAACGCACTCATGACTTCTCTCCCCTCACTTTCCTCACTTCGTTAATTTACAAATGTTTAATACGGCCCGTCAAAAATGTGTAAATTTTCTTTTCATTTTTTATTTGAAGTAAAGTCTGATGATCCGCAGTCCTTTTAAAAGGGCTGTGGTGAAATAATTTATTACATGGAACCTTAAAGTGGTCTGTTTTTATTTAAATTATTTGCTTTGAATTTACATTGAGCACTTTGCATTTTATCCTCCTCAGGTTTACCCATACGGATTACCTAGTTTTTTCATAAACTAAATATATATATATATATATATATATATATATATATATATATATATAAAAAAAAATCTTATATACAATTATGCTGTTTCAATGTTAATATGTCAACGTCGGACCTTTCGGTCTAATAAACCATCTTCAGGACATATTCATAAATTATAACATTATCAATACAAAATGACAAAGACGATGTACATAAGAACAAGACTTATCCAAACAGATAACTGATATATAAAACTTTCAGTTATCTGTTTAGGCATTGATGATCAATATAATTCACTGGATAGATAGATAGATAGATAGATAGATAGATAGATAGATAGATAGATAATGAATAGACTCAGATGGACAGGAAAAGATAGATAGATAGATAGATAGATGCATACATACATAGATAGTATGAAGAAAAATATGGAAAAACAAAAATCCGAATATGCAAGTATGCTGTTTTAATCTTGTTTCAATGTCGACGTCAGACGTTTCGGTCTAGTAGACCTTCTTCAGGACATTGTTATTAAAATATAATTAAAATTGGACGATGTTAGACATACTTGCATATTGTTTTTCCATATTTCTCTTCATACTGTCTGATCTATATCCACATATTTGCTTACATAGATAGATAGTGAGCCCGAAATAAGAAATAATTACATAATGCATACACACAAAAAAAGTTCCTTTTGAGTTCGTACGAACCAGGATGAATGTAAGTACATTACATATACCCCGCTACGATACAATCTCAATGCCCTTGTTTTCTCCTCCCCTTCTATTACGCTTCGCGTTCTGCGTTTATTTATTTTAATTTAATAAAGCGTCAGGAAATTATTTAGCCGTGATTGCCTGAAGATACCGAAAGGTTGGAACCAAGGTAGCGTGATCGGCTAATCTCCTATATATATATATATATATATATATATATATATATATATATATATATATATATATATCTTAGTGTAAGACAACTCTTAACCGAGAATGGCCACTTCATAGACTCAATCTACGTTGAGGACATGCTAATATTTGCATATATTGTCACTGATCCTGTGGCAACTTTGACCTGCATGGGACATGCATGTCACATCAAATTTATTGCATGTCATTGTTCCTGCGATATCCTGACTTTCTGGATGCTTATCTATCTATCTATCTATCTATCTATCAATCTATCTATCTATCTATCTATCTATCTATCTATCTACGTCTGTACATTATTTTTCTTTTTATCTGACTATATATATATATATATATATATATATATATATATATATATATATATATATATATATCCTTTTCTATTCATTATCTATCTATCTATCTATCTATCTATCTATTCATTATCTATGTCAGTACCTTCTTTTTTTCTATCTATTTCTATATGTCGTTTTCTATTCATTATCTATATCTATCTATCTATCTATCTATCTATCTATCTATCTATCTATATATATATATATATATATATTCATTTATCTATCGATCTCAGTACCTTCTTTTTCTATCTATCTCTCTATATCCTTTTCTATTCATTATCTATCTATCTATCTATCTATATATATATATATATATATATATATATATATATCTTTTCTATTCATTATCTATCTATCTATCTATCTATCTATCTATATCCTTTTCTATTCATTATCTATCTATCTCTCTATGTCAGTACCTTCCTTTTATCTATCTATTTATCTATCTATCTATCTTCATGATTTATGTATTTATTTAACGACATATCAAAACCTATGGATAATTTAGTGTCGAAATTTAATTTTTTTTTAACCTTTGAAGTAATAAAAAATGTTATATGTTATTCTGCTTTCACAGTTGAATACATGGTAGATAATACTCAGCTTTTGTGCATCTACATGTTTGTGTAGACATAATTACTAGAGACAGTGATATGTGTGTTTTATGTTGTAGTTTGTTGAAGTTATATTTTGGAATACAGTTTAATTTCGTTAAGAAAATTTCGGGTATTACATGGATTAATATCCTGAAAGTATTCTTTCATCTTTGTTATTTGATTTTGTAAGCAGCATATCAACACGTCTATGGGTTATTTAATGCTGAAATCTAAATATATTTAACATAGCTTTATGGCTTCAGAGAAAATGTATAGGTGGTCATTTTAATATAAAATGCATTGTGATAAGTTTGTTTTAAAAATGTATTGTAGGTCATTTTAATATTTATCGTTGGTAACTTTTTATATAAAAATGTATTTCTATTTTTTTTATTATAAAATTGTATTTTTATACTTTCATAGTGTTTGGGAGTTCAAAATTTGGACCTTAACAGGTGCTACCACCCTGGATCAGGGTGAACCTGGGAACAGTAGCAGGTAAGAGGTGGTTCCATGCTCTCGATCAGACGCCTTGCTGCCGGATGTAGTTTATCATCATACCCAGGACTACTATGCGCGTGAGGGAGTGCCGACCACGCCGAGATTTAAAAAATAACTGATGTTTAGTCCAGTTGGCCATGTGTGGTCATTTCGGGAAGTGGTTTAAGCCGAGAAGTTTTCACTGTCCATTATTCAACTTACATTCCACAGTCTAGTCTGGCACAGGGACACTGTTTTAGAGTACCTACAACGAATTGAAATCATTTTTACTCTGCTATAAGGACACAAATTTGGAGATTCGCAGAGAGATTAGCAGAGATTAATCAGGTAAACGGGTATATATAAGGGTATGTATAAGGCTATTCTATCAGAATTCCTCGGATAGGGAGTTAAAATATTTACATTATGACTAATGTCTTCATCTTTGTTGTTTTTATCACGGTTTTCAGCCGTTATACTCTATATAAAAATATTACCAGCAATAAATTTTTTTTTTTAAATATTACCATAAATACAATTTTGAAGAAAAAAAAAATAAACCAGCAATACGTTTTTGAAAAAATAATACCAGCAATACATTTTTGAAACAAAGAATATTATCAGCAATACATTTTTGAAGAAAAAAAATATTACCAGAAATACATTTTTTTAAAAATATTACCAGCAATACATTTTTAAAAAAATATTACCAGCAATACATTTTTTAAAAATATTACCAGCAATACATTTTTGAAAAAAAATATTACCAGCAATGCATTTTTTAAAAATATTACCAGCAATACATTTTTGAAACAAAGAATATTACCAGCAATGCATTTAAAAAAAATATTACCAGCAATACATTTCTGGAAAGAATATTACCAGCAATAAAAATCTTGTCGGCATTAAATAACCCAATGAAGTTGATATACCGTAAAACAAAATGGACCAAACCAAATCCCCTAAAACGGATTTTTTTTACAAAGAATACATATTCTATTCATACGAACCTATCCTAAAAATCTTGTCGGCATTAAATAACTCATTGAGGTGTTGATATGCCGTAAACCATACCAAAACAAACGAAACTTACAGTTGAACACATACTGGTGAAGTAGATTGATTTTATTAAATTCGTTTCAAATTTTACCAGGTGATGAACATGGAAGACTTCTTTGAATTGGTTGATCCAAATAATATTTTTGGATTTCTGAAGAAGGTGGGACTATATCAAAGAATCTAGAAACTTCAGGTTGCTTTATAGATAAATATGTGCTGCTCGCCAAACAAAGAGAAAAAAACAATGTATCTATAAACTATTCATGAACAAATCATACATACATACAAGATCTCATTTTGTTTTTGTTTTTTTAGTACTGCTCAGTTAATTATCTTCCTGTTTTTACTGAGTTTGAGACTACAGTACCCAGCCCAGCGATTGAACTTCCAGTTACTATGCTACTAACAAACGAATATTGTAATCCACAAGGCTAAGTCTACCATTCGTCCTTGCTTTAAATATTGCTTCCACACATGGCCTGGTGCTCGTGCTATATATTTAGAGATTCTTGATGAAATCCAAAGAAGAATCCGCAATTTTATTTGCCATGACCCGGCATTTCGGGCCCTAGCTGTAAAGGTTTGAACTGGTGGAACAAAAGAATGTATCATTTTTTTAATATTTTCTGGTGCTAACATCCATGAGACTGCCGCATTGCACCTTCTCGAACTATTGGCTGACATGTAGTGGAAAGAGTACATTGAATCGATTGATAAGTCTGAAGCTAAAAAAATTGGTTCACAGTGTTGTGCTAGGCTATTATTCTTGACAGAAGGTATTTATAAGTATACCATTCGTCCTTGCTTTGTATATTGCTGCCACATCTAGTCTTGGGCTACTGTTATAGATTTAGAGATTCTTGATAAAATCCCAAAAAGAATCCGCAGTGTTATTGGTCTTGACACGGCACCTCGGCTCCAGTCCTTTTCCGACTGCCATAATGTAGCTTCCCTCTGCTTTTTCCATAAATATTCTTAAGGTAACTATTCGGATGAGCTCTTAGCTGTGTTGAACTAGTTAGGACTTTCATAGAGACAATGAGGTATTATGGTGGATGTAGTAAGAAAGATAAATAAGAATGTGTTGTTTTGGTGGTAGGAATATTGTTGTATGCTTGGGTCAGTTTTTGTGGCTAGATAAGTTTAAAGTTAAGACAGATGAAGACCGTCTTTTCCCCCATTCTCCATTTTGGCTTTGTGTCACATTTTGTAAATAATCACAAATAAATATCGCTCTTCGCTATGATACATTGGGACTAGTTTTTAAATTGTTGTTTTATTCCCCTCCCCCTACAGACAATGAATTGTACATATGGGGAATAGTTATGATTTTCATAGAGACAATGTGGTATTATGGTGACTGTAGTAAGAAAGTTAAGTAAGAATGTGTTGTTGTGGTATGTTTGGGTCAGTGTTTGTGGCTACCTAAGTTTAAAGTTAAGACAGATGAGGACCCATCCTTTTTGCCCATTCCCCGTTTTGGCCTTGTGCCACATTTTTTAAATATTTAGAAATAAATATCGCTTTTCGCTGTGGTACCTAGACTTTATGAATTTAAGCGTAGTACTACATTGGCGACAATGTCTCATGAAATTACAATCTATTTAGCTAAATGTAACCGTAAGTCCTATGCTAACAATTTCTTCCCTCGCAACTCTCGCTTGTGGAACTATCTTCTGACTTCTTGCATTTCAGATATATTTGATATTCAAAAATTTAAATGCAATCTCAATCGTTATCTATTGTCTTAATTCTTGTTATTTTATTTTTTCTCGATCCTTAATAATGTTTGTCTTTTTCTTATTCTTTCACACTCAGTAATGATCTGTGTCTTAGTGGCTTTACTGCCTTGCTTGGGGTGAAATGATTAAAAAAAAAAAATCTCGCTGGACAATCCTGAAACATAACTCCTATGTAATTGCTTGCTGGACTCGTATGATATGTTTCACTCTACCGGTGCCATTTTTGTAGCAGGCTTTAAATTAGAATTGGTCTCGTAGAATTGTTCTGAATTCAATACCAATTAACCTTTGTTCTGCTGCAGATCAACCGCCTTCTGACATTTGCCAATCTTTCTTTGACGGTTTATATTCTCCATCTTGTCATGAGTAAACTAGCAGCAGCAGCAACAGCAGCTGAAGCAACAACCGCCTTTCCAAAGGGTGGTTTGCGTTTTACACTTAAAGCGATACTAGTGCTTGACTCGAATTCAGCCTCTCGCTTGTCGTTAGTTTTCGGGCAGAGGTGAAGACGAGGGACTAGAACGGGATTAGCTCCATCTTTGTTTAGGCATGAACTTCAGTTTCCTTTTCAGTCAATCACTTCTAACGGACTTAACTGATTTATTCTGATTATTTATTGGGATCTTTTTTTGGCATCATTTTTTTTTGTTTTCTGCAATGTTATTTTTGACTGATAGAATGTGATGAGAAATTTAACATTTGGATGAACAAGAAAGAAAAAAAAAAACTCAGAGAATTATGAAATCATCAAGGGAAAAATAAATTCTCGTTTAGCGATTTAAAAAAAAAATCAGTATCACCCCAAGCAAGAGAATAGAGCCACTAGCACGCCAGCTTATAGACTGTGTAAAAGAATTAGGAATAGAAACATTAGCAATGAGAAAAAAAGAAAAGATCAACCAGGAAGACAGTATATAGCGATTGTCATTTCATTTAAATTTTTGCAGATTAAAGTTGGTTGGAAAGCATAGAGCCGGAAGGGAGTTCCACAAGCAAGAAGTGTAAGATACGGAACTGTTAGCACAGAACGTACGTCTAGATCTAGCTAGCTAGTCTAATATTGCGCTTAAACTCAAACAGTCTATGTACCATAGCGAAGAATGATATTTATTCTGACATATACACAGAAATGTGGCACAATGCCAAAATGGGGATTGGAGAAAAGGGTGGACTTCTTTTGTCTTAACGATAACTTAGTTAGCAACAAACACTAACCCAATCATACAAACAATATTCCTTACATCAAAACAACACATTCTTACGCACATTTCTTACTACATCCACCGTAATACCTCATTGTCTCTATGAAAATTCTAATTAGTCCCTATATGTACAATTCATTGTTTGTAGGGGGAGGGGAATAAAAACAACAACTTAAAAAGCCCCAATGAGTATTTACAATATGAATACAACATATTTACATGAAACTAAACAAAACAATGTTAGTAAAAAAAAAAAAAAAAAAAAAAAAATACAATCCCTAAATATGGCAGAAACATCAGTTAACTGGACGAAATCTGTGCGGGACTTTAATAAGATAAAACATTTATCCATCCCAATCACTCACACTGACATGCGCTCATTCAGACACAACAACAAATACGAACACACACACGGGAAACGAAAGGCGCCCTGCATCCACCAGCGAATTGACATCACTGACCACCTAACGAGGGAGAGGATGGGGAAATTAAAGAAAAATAGGGACAGAAATAAAAGATGACCAATGGGTATACATACCCTAGCTAAGTTAACTGAAAAAAAAGCGAAGAGCTCATCTGAATATTTACCACGAAATTATTTATTAAAAAAAAGCACAGAGAAGAAACCTTACGGCGGTGGACAAGTGTCTGAAGTCGAGCCACCAGATAAGGACCAATGATATTAGTGATTCTTCTTTGGATTTTATGAAGGAGCGTCAGGAAAATAGCTGGGTCACCGGACTATATATGGCAGCAATATTCTAAGCCTGGACGAAAGGTAGACGTAAAGGTATGCAAAATAAATTCCGGAGTTAAAAATTGTCTCGCTCGAGACAGTGAACCTAACGATGAATTCAATATACCCTTTCCCTCCTCTTGTCAGCTGAAGATAAGTTTAGTCCGAGATTCAAATAGTTCTAGTGTATCTCTCTCCCCCCGACAATTATATATATATATATATATATATATATATATATATATATATGAATAAAAATACCAGAGAACTCCACATAAAAACGCGGTACGTAAGGTTTAAAATTAATTTTTAAAAATGAAAATCTTTCTTGACGCTTTTATTTTAGTTTAATTTCAAGTGAATAGATTAAATTTAATATCTCCTATTAGCAACGTATTTTGCTGTATTTCAAAACTAGTTTAAATTCACTAGAAGAATTTTTTTTATTTGCTAAAATAGCTGATTAGCGACCCTTTTTTAGTCGTTTTTCATTGCAATCTCTTTCAATTTATTAAAAATATAATCTTCCAAAAATAAGATACACTTTTCTGAAACTTTATTTGAGTAGTATTATTTGATTTAAAATAAAATTCATCTGATTTGAGACAAAAGATTATTTACTTATTTACGTTAAGTTTGAAATACTGAAGAAATGAATTTTTATATATATATATATATATATATATATATATATATATATATATATATATATATTAATATATATTAAGACTTGTTTCGTTGTATAGTTTAGGGATGATCTGTCTACTTATTTTCGATAAGATACTTTCATAACCGCGGATAAACTTTTAGATGTCGTTATTGAAGGATGAGAGAAAATACAGATTTTTTTTTATCACCAAGTACTTTCGACCTATCCATGTCATCATCAGAGTATTGTTTATAATAAAATGATAAAATAAAATAAGTATTATAGTATTCATTGTTGTCAGAGACACATTGTCATGTTATCTGAAAGTTAGATTTCTTACAAATGGAGTGAGGGACGCTGCGTCAGTGCGTGACCGCTGAAACCGTTTAAAGGGAGATAACACCCTGATGATGACATGGATATGTCGAAAGTACTTGGAAATAGAATATTTATTTCTGTGTATGGTTAAATAATGGCGTTTCTTGAGGCTGAAGGAAAATAAACATACACACATATTTTATTTGCTTTTTGCCTCTGATGAACCTTTTCCTTTTGTCAAATTTCTTAAAAACTTATGGGTTCGTATCGTCCATAAAGAATTATGGATGAACAAACTCATGTTCATATACGTGGCCTGATGATTGCGATCAAGCATGAAACAGACTATCGCCGCTGTGGGCCTCAGTGACCACTTATATTTAGTGTATTGGGGCAGCAGATTATTATTCAAACATATAAGCATATATTGTTTAACTAGCAGCAAGGCCCGGCGTTGCCTGTGCTTGATTTAAAAATCGTACGACTCATACAGCAATCGTTATCACTTGACTTAAAATATTTTTGCCCTTTCTTGCCTTTAAATGAGTGCCCTTTGCCGTTCTGATGTTGTTACATGCCTTACTTCTTGTCTATATCACACTGCGAATTGTTTCTAAGCTCTATACTAAACATTAAATCTGTTACGAAAAAAGAACTAAACAAAATGAACACAAAACGATCAGCTTTAAAAAAGGACTCGTAACTGAAAAAACCGAATGAAAAAAGAATGTTAACAACAAATACTTTTTCACACCGAACCCAGTTCTGCGGAATCAGAATCAACGTTGAGTTTAATCAAGCGAATGAGCCAATTGGAGTAAAGTGCCATGCAGATTTAAATTTTCCCCATTTGTGACGAATGCAGCGATTGATTTTTTTTTGCAGACTAGCATGCTAGTTAACATTCGTGTCAGTCAGCTGTTGGCTCTCACGCTGGCCAATGGAATCTTCCTGCCTATTCGTGGCAGCCAGCTATAGTCTCTTACTCTGGCCAGTAGAAAATGGCCGCAAACTACATGAAAACTGCCGTAGAAGCATGAAAAAAATCGATTATATCCACTATCGATGGGAGTTGGGAAATGCAACGTCGGTCTTGGCTTTCCCGCTAACTTGGATCATGTGCGTGTAAATTTTGGTGCAAATCCGTCGAAAATTGCGGCCGTGCATTCGTTACACACACACACACACACACACACACACACACACACACACACACACACACACACACACACACACACACACACACACATCCTGCCTTTTATAGATAGAGATATAACAGAATATAAATGTCTATTATGTTTGATCATGAGCCGTTCTAAGTTTCGTATTGTGGTTTCGGGAGAAAATAAAGACAAAATCAGTCCAACATTTGGATATTTTCCGTCTAACTTTTCGGCTCACCTGAGCCATCATCAGTGTGATTATATGGACATTACAACAGAGATGTTCACCATCAAAGATGGCATCCTATTTTGTTTACATAGAAGTTGGCTATGCGACGATAAAGTGCGCGGAATAGCAAACGCAGGTCGTAAATTTGTAATGCGGTTCTATGACGCCATAGATGACCACGTGATAGAAAGAAATGTTATCAACAGAACCATGTTTAGATGCATTGTAATATGTTGAGTGTGGGTTGCTTTGTTGAAACGTAGATGGCCTCAAATATTTTAAGGGGCGCCAAATCATTCTCTTTATGGCAGATCTCTTTAAGGAGCTATTCTTTGTATTGAATAACAGATTATTTAAGAATGAATTACATCGCGATCTTTCTTTGAAAGTATAGGCGTGTGTTTATAATTGGTAATAATGCTATTATTAAGTTTTCAATGTATTTTCGACTTAATTATGTTTTTTTTTCATTAGAACTCCGACTAGACAGACACGCATACACAATTACAAAGACACAATACCATCCGATGTTTGGTTGAATGATATCAAAATATTCTGTTTAACCAATTTTTATTGACTTTTTAAATTTCTGAATTTGTGGTTTTGTGCAATTGACAAATTTACAAAAGTTCATATTTACTAATATTCATTATATTATATATATATATATATATATATATATATATATATATATATATATATATATGTATGTATTATCAACAGAACTATGCATTTAACTGTATTGTGTAATGTGTTGTGACTGGTTTGAAATGTAAATATATATATCTCAAGAATCTATCTATCTATCTATCTATCTATCTATCTATCTATAGGTTTGATTGAAAATAGATTTGATTATTTATTTCGCTATTCAGGATCCAGAAAAGAAAGAATGAAATGTATATATATATATATATATATATATATATGTGTGTGTGTGTATGTGTGCGTGCGTGTATTAAAATATATGTATTATATAATTTCATTATGTATATATATATATATATTATTATATTATTGCTTCAATTTTATTTCTGAGTGGATATATACATGTTAGCGCATATATATATATATATATATATATATATATATATATATATATGTATGTATGTATTAAAATTGCGTCTCAAAAAATCACGCAAAAATTCGTCAAAAGCACTGGCAGTATTAAAAACTTGGGAATCAAAAATTTTAGGATTTCGTGTCCAGATCTGTCCAGGAATTTTTTTTAATTTGCTCGTAGAATCGGCCTGATTGGTATCAAATGGTATAATATGTTAGTATATGGCCTCAAGAGTAAAGTTAAAAAGGTGTGACACACTGACATTCGCATTTATTATTTAGAAATGTATATATAATAGAAAACTATAATATAGAAGAGTATATATATATATATATATATATATATATATATATATATATATATATATGTGTGTGTGTGTGCGTATATACATATAGTCGTTGTGGAGCTTATATTTTGCACATATATATATATATATATATATATATATATATATATATATATATATATATATATATATATATAAGTGCGTAGGTATGCAGAAAATAGAAAAAGAACACGTTGGGTGCATGATCCGGGGTTCCCTTAGTATTTTTTGTTTTTATTTTTAAGAAGACAGTGCTCCATACAGAAGTAGATTATTATTATTATTATTATTATTATATATATATATATATATATATATATATATATATATATATATATATATATATATGTATGTATGTATGTATATTTCTGCATATAGGTCTGTTGAAGTAATATTTTTTAATACTCTATATTACTTGTACTTTTATTTTGTTTTTTAAACATTCATATATTATGGGCACGTGACTAAGTCTCACCATGGTCAATTTGCCAGGAAGGAGACTTCCTTATGTTGTCGGGTCGAATGGGTCGATCCCAGCGAGAGGCACCTTTAGAAAGTGCCTGAAAAACTATGCCGTGTATATTGATCCAAGCCTTGTTAGTGAAACTGGGTAAACAGGCCCTTTGAGGAACGTTGATACCTATGCTAGCACAAAGTTGCTAGTCATCGGGGAAGTGGGCTTGAGCGTACTGGCCTTGTTCAAATTGTTTATCACGCTAGATTACACGCGTTCTCCCAGAAACTGTAACTAAGGCCTGCCCAGCATAGCTGCAGTATAAACCACAGGTGGGCTCTGTGAGTGTTAAACAAACACAAACGCGCCTGAGCAAGCGTCTGCAGTAGGGATTGGCGAGCCACTCTAGTAGACGGGTATCCTCGATTACGAGTAGCCAGCTATACCACACACACACACACGCACATATCTATATCTATCTATCTATCTATCTATCTATCTATCTATATATATATATATATATATATATATATATATATACATGTTTCATTAAATAATATAGACAAATGTTGTCTATTTATTTTATGTAAATTCTTTTCATATCGTCTGATAAGCTTAATAACATTATCATTAAACGAAGAAAGAAAATCACAATATTGATACATATTTTTAATCCTATCTAGGCTTTCGGCTTACATAAGCCATTATCAAAGATGACAATTACATTACAATATATTAAGCAATACACGAATAAAATACTTCTCGTTTTCACTCTCGCGTGGTCATGCGTGACGTCATGAGCTGCGGGGCGATTTTCGCTTCCAGCGTCTTATATGCACGAGTTTGTCGTTGCTTGGAAATCTTCCATGTAAACAGAAACTATCATCATTGTCTTATCCGTATATTGCTATATCATTTAATGAAACATGCATCAATGAAAAAATGCTGCGTAAACAAACACAATATATACATACATATATATATATATATATATATATATATGTTCGTCCTCCGACAGGATTCGAACCTGTATCCTATACTGAACTATCATATAGCCTGAAAATTTCTCGGACATTCAGGCGGGTAAATGTTGTTTAATACTGTTTATTATAAAACAGAGCATTTACTTAAATATTTCTATCTATAAAAAAAATGTATAAACATAAAAAATGTCTTAAAGTAATTGTCGGACTTTGTCCATTTCATAATGTGTGACGTCATTTGTTTACATTTGGATACGCCACGAGCAGATATGAATATACGTGAGAGAATCATGGAATATGTATATATATATATGTATGTATGTATGCATATATGTATGTATTCTGGGTCTGGTAAATGAAATCAGGGTGTCATTTTTGGATGCAACAACCAACAATTGTTCAAACCTACCCAAAACATAGCATGCACCATTTAAAAAAAATATATATATATTCCTGCGTAATACAGCAAATGTAAAATTTCGGTTAATTTTACCTGCTATAAATATTTTTTATAGTGCGTGTTATACGCTAGAAAAATTCTTTTTCAGCTTTCATAGCCAACATTAGGGCTGCGTATTGTATATCCGTGCGTATCATTCACAAATAAATTCTGGGTAAATTATTTATAGTTACGTATAAAGCTATGCAAATGTAGGTATATAAGATTTTACTACATATACTGCTTCGCCTGTGAATTTTTAATTAGCGCTTAAGTAATTAATGCAGCTTGTCATGAGCTTAATCTGTCTTGAAAAGATCTCGACACAACTATTATTATTAACATATTAAATAGACAGAGTAAACTGTTTGGTAAACCTCTCCCCCATAAAAGCCAAACCTTAGCAGCAAAAAGCTGTTACGCTCATTGAAATCTTTGACAGATGCCAGTCATATATATAATCACACGCTATTGTATCGTGTATATGTCAATGCGTTTTATTGTAAAGGTGTCATCCATCTTGCTGAAATTCCTTGTTACATTTGCGTGTTGGACATTGATATTTCGACTAATTTTTTTTATTTAGCGGATTTGTAAATGTATGATTGCCCTTTACAGTGTAAAGCTCTTTTGTGCTTTACTCCAACGCTACTCAGAGTACGTCACGAAAGGCGGCGACGGTACGCGAATTGTCGTCTGGCGGTTGCCTGCAGCCGACAAAAGCTGACAAAAATAAAAGAAGAAAAATTTCAAAATTACGAATCTTTTCTTTTTTGGATACAATTAAAAACTGGATAAGTTTGAAATCATTGAAATTGTTTTGAAACACCTTCTACCATTAATTTGTACATATTTTACAGTACAGTTCACTCTGTACAAGGCTCGGAGGCCACTCAAAGTAGAGGGCTAGCGCTCTGTAATACTCTACAGCGTGTGGCTACCAGGCCATGTAGAAGGTGAACATCATTCAAATGAATAGACTGAGATAGATAGATAGATAGATAGATAGATAGATAGATAGATAGATAGATAATGAATACAAAAGGATATATATATATATATGTCTACGACGCTTAACATTTCGATAAAAGATCCATTTTTCGTCGCCAGTCACAAGTCTATCCAAAAAAGGTGAAACAAGTTGGCGAGAATGGAGAGAAGAGCAGATGTCAACTCGGGATTCAATTCATGAAGCACACATTTTTCCAAGTTTAGGAACTTTTTTCAAGTTGTTGAAGATGACGATGAACAATTGTATGGTTTGAACTGAGGATCACTGCCAATGCCTCAACTGATAAATCAGGATTTTATTCAAGGGATGCTTCAAGAAGCTTTTCATCAAACTCAACTGGACGTCCGGTTCGATCTTCATCTTCAAGAGTAAAATCTCCACCTCTGAATTTTGCAAACCATCTTCTGCAAGTTCTTTCATTCACACATTCCTCTCCATAAACTGAGTGAATGTTTCTAGCCGCTTCGGCTGCTGAGTTTCCTTTCTTGAACTCATAAATCATTATGTGCCTCAAATGATTCTTGGGTACTTCCATGTTAGCAGGGTTTTAATCAAACAAAATTTAATTTTATTGTTCTCTGAAATAAAATTTGATCAGTTTAAATGCATCTAAACATAAAAATAATGTTCAGCTCCATTAGACATAAAATACTCTTTAAATTTCGTTCATTTTAACAAAAAGTTAAAATTCGGACAGAACTTAAGGGATGACCTGATATTAACACAATTTTTCACGAAAATAGGTTTCTCGTGTCCAGTAGCTGTTATAGCTCCTTCCAACCCATAGCAGCAGTTTTGAGAGATGTTTCCTTCTTAATCTTTTGTTTGAAGCAGTATGGAAAATCAATATCTTTATGTCATTGTATTCTGTTTTATGTGATATTCATTTTAGTTGTTGCAGCTGTAGTTTCTGTCATTTAGTACAGTTCATTGTTTGTGATTATGTAGCCTCAATCTGCGAATGCAGTGTTCACTTTACATCGTACGGTCTGTTATGGCCAAGTGATTTAATCGATCCAAAAAGTGACTTGACCCAAAGAGTTG